AACTTTGTTCATTCCCTAAATACATGCACTATTCCGCAAATGGATATTCCCTACTACTAATAACCGATCGCGTGGATTTGCCGTACTGACCGAATAAAAATAGTCGTTGTAATTTTCATGAATGACATTTAATAAAACTAATTTCTTCTCTACCACAACACCCGTTTCAGACTGTCTTGGTTCTCCCGATAAAACAGTTTATCATTTATTAACGAGGTCGCACCCGTAGCCTTGCTTCCATCTGGATTTCGTTGCAAACTCAGTGGCACAGAAAAAAGGAACAAAACACTGGATAGCAATTCAGTGATTACTGTGGTTCACCGTCAGCAACCAAGTACAACATTCTACATGGCATGGCTATGTCCAACCCTATTTGGTTTTCACGATAAGGTGTGTCGTGAATAGTTGAAGTGTGAAGGTGAGATATTATATCCATGTTTTCGCATTCTTTTTCCCGTAGCTTTGATTAAAGAACCTATCGACGTCAATTGGTTTCAGTGTCCAAATCATCATCCAAGTTCCAACACTCTTCAGTAAAACAAGCCAGCAAGCCCACCAAACGCTTTGACTGATTATTAATAGGAGTGGAGACTAAGGAACCGGACATTTTTGAGCAACCTGTTGGGAACCCCCTGCTCCCATTTCCAAGAAAATGTGTGACGGATCAAAACGCTGGATTGGAAACAAAACATGCCTAAGTAGAGCATCATTTAAATAATGTCTAAGATACAAAGTAGCCGAGGAAGAAAATCGGACGAGCTTGCTAGGATTTAACGGCTAATGATTTTTCAATCTGTGTGATGTGCCCCATTGTTTAGTTGAACAACCATCTGCCTGAGTATCTGATTTTGAGGAAGTTTGTGCAATCATTTTGCGTGAAAATTAATCTTAATGTATCTCACACTGATGCTTTCCTATGTTCTTACGTGAAACAGGACACTTGAATGATAACTTCAAAAGTGACCTCTTTTATTAATAATCACCTAAATTGGAACCAGCATCGTGGTGTTTGAAATGCAGACCCCAATGAATCTCAGTGAACGTTTTATAAATCACGTAATGATTCAGTGTGAATGAAAGTTTAATTTCGGTCTGAAGTTAATACCCATCAAAGAAATAGCTATGAAGTCACCGGCGAGAAGTTTGACAGTATAGTTGTTTTCTGCTTGGCTAGAAATTAAAAGACCGCAACATACTCCAAAGGAGCTGAAAATTTATCAAGGATACGTGTACTGACCATTGTTAGCTTCATATTAGATACTTTTAAAACGTCTATCAGAGCGCATCTGAATACATTTTAGATGTACTTTTGAGCTACGCTCCTCACCTTTATGATGACGGATCAGCGAGGCGATAAACTCAATATTTTATAAAAATTGAAAATCACATTGGTAGTATCATAAATCCACAAGACCAATGACGGACAGAGGAGAGTTATTTATTGGGAAAACCACATGTATAAGGGGTAAATGAGAGTACGCAGAACAAAGCATCTAATGTGTAATAGTTTGGTAGCAGTTTCTTAAAAGGTTCTTGATCCGTGATTCAACAGCCCGACAGTCTCTCTATATTCTGTTGCAACAGTAATAAATTCTTTATTCCGCTTCCAGATACCTTGAGAGTTCACCGATCGCGTCTTCATGCGAGCACAAAACACTAATCACAAATTTGAATAGGACCTCACAACAGTAGCAGCAGAAGTTGTTGTAATAGAAAAATCATTGGTATTCTAAAATGTATTATAGATCAGTCGGGAAAATTAGTCCCAAATCTATGTCCCGGATCCACAGTTACTGTTTGTTTCAGACTGGAGTAGAGAAAAGTCAGGTTTACACTTCATTGGAGGCCCAGAATTTTAGCAATCATGGCTTGTGTTGCTGTACGCTATCTGTTGCGCTTCGAATCGCAGATAAGCAGGCCACATTTTGGGCGGATGGACAAAGGTGAATAGGTGGACATTAGTTCATTAACTAAGTCATCACGGACGATCAATGACAGGGCTCTGTCCAGCAACTGATCTTTCTGCAACTAAAACCACAAATGATCGTAAAGCACATCATGAACTAAGTGAATCTGGGTGACCACTAACACCACTGCATCACGGCTGCACAGGCAGCAATGGCTATGAGCATGGCTGGAGGCACACTCCGAAGCCGAATCACAGACTAGTACCGGGGATGCCTTTCTGTGCCGCAATCGCGAATTTCTTCAAAAATCGAAACCATCTAAGGAACTCACTTGTTAGACTTCAATCACATAAAACCAACAAGTGAATTTTCTGGCCTATCATATCGTGAACCTATTCTCATATTTGCGAAGGAAGTTGGCTGCGAGAAAGCTTTCTGATCTTATTGGGAATTTGCAGCAGGACAGGTTTCAAACATTTCGTTTGAAATTTGCTCGTAATTTGTATATTTCCGGAAATGATTTGTTTATTTAAGCCTGATAACTGGTCGTAAATATTTGGTAAAACTGCAACATTCATGTTCGACGGATTTGGGGACCCATGAAAGTCGGGAAATCGGTTTTGTCTCATGCATCCGTCTGAGCAGCGGGGCGTACGCATGAATATATATATATATTTGTGTATACGTAAGCATTTATATTTAACATATGGTACAGAAGGGAGTATATCACAAATCAAACTACTAATGGTTAGAGATTCGGTGTGACAGCAACTGGCCTCAGCTCGTTTTCACACCAATGAAAACAGCAATCTGCGATCATTGGTTTCGATAGCAAGAAAGCGATGGATCATATTGTTTCACCTCGCCATCTACAGCAAACGGGCTTTTCGAGATCCTGTGGCATAATTCCACTTGCCTTCCACCGTTTCATCCGACAGTTACAATCTTTTCATGCGGACGTACCGGCAAGTTTGTGTGGAGGGGGAGGGGGAACGGTTGGGTTTGGTTTTGAAGGAAAATGTATGTGACGTGTGCTGAGTGAAAAGAAGGAAGGATGTGAAGACTTCTTGAAGCCGGGTGAGAAAAATAAAAAGGGAAGCAGTGAGCACCAATCCCAGAATGATCATGAATATTTCCGGTTAAGCTCGTGAAACATGTTTTGGATTTTCTTGAATGAATGTGTGTGTGTGTGGGTGGGTGGGTGTGGGTGTGTGTGTGTGAATAGATAGGTTTACAGGGGTTGGTTTATCATCAACCCGAATGTGGATGAAGTTCTCAGAATGTCATGTTCATAAATTGTCAAATTTGTGGCATTGTCTGTAATAGTGGTAATAGTAGTATGATTGATGTTACATCACAGTCATGACATGTAGCATTTGGGTGTAATTTGATATTGTTGTTGCTGCTGCTTTTAGTTGTTGTTGTGTTTTTAAAAAGAACACAGAAAAAACAAAACGAAACAAACAACGAAAAATAAAACATGATAAGTAAAGATAGATTAAATGTTGGATTCATTGATTCATTGACTGATTGATTGATTGATTGATTGTCTGATGAGAACAAATGAAAAGG